TTGGTGTCGATAATGTTCTCCTCGACACCTATGTTTATAGCATCAAGTCAAGCTATAATAATAATAATAATAATAATAATAATAATAATAATTCTTTAAGTAAATAAATCCTCACAAAAAACTTGGAAGATTGTTTAAGTAACAACAGACTCAAATATCGGCAGGGAACAAAGGCAGACAAGGAAGTCATCTCCTAACCTTGTTTAAGCCATTTCAGCATCTAAATATCCTATCAAACTGCTCCAGAATTTGGGAAAGGGAATTTCCACATTCCCTCTGTCTTATATATCTCAGAAAGGAAAACAAAGTAGAAGAGAAACATCCAAAAGCACACAGATGAAAGGAAAAGAAAAATGTGGACTGCCACCCACTAAACAATGGGGCTCCTTACACCAGGAATCACCTTGGCCAGTCCTACCTTGGGAACTCTAACTCTTCAGAGGACGCTGCCAACCACATACCTTGTTACCCACAAATAACATCCTTTGAGTGGAAACCCCAGCTGCATGCATTTTGCTTTCCTGCCAGTGTTTCATTTTTTCCAGACTTCTTCTTCCCAGACCAATTCATGTACTTATTGGCATGCTAGGAGACATGGAAACGATTAGAGGCCGCATTCAGGGCACTACATGGACTTGCTGGAGAATCAGTGTGCTCCGCAGAACTTGAGAGCAGTTGGCAACACTCATGGAAACTGTGGCACGAAACCCACTAGCAGTATCTCGTGTCACACAGGACATTCTGCCACAGCGCTATATGGATCTGTGCGCTTCAGGAAGGAGGCAAGGTCCACCTCACCATCGCCAGCTCTCAGGCTTAACGTCCTTTGTTTCTTCCTGCAGCCTGGTGAAACCCAGGAAATACTCATCTCAGCCAGTTTCTATTCAGGCTTCCATAACTGAACGCAGACAATGAAAACAGTTCCACAAGATACTACTGCAAGCAGTGGCACCTGAGGATCCTCTCAAAGACACGACAGAGGGAAAGTGACAGCATTCATAAAATCAAGAACTTGAGTTTTCAAATGACTGATTTAAGTCCTAAGCCAGTTTCATCCTTAGAGGCTTCTTTCACCATATGAATGCTAAGTGTTGTCAGTTATCTAGAAAGAGACCAGTCAAACTTGTAGCAATGTGGTTGAGCCCTGCAGCCTTTTTTCTTGCAGCTCTCCTAACTCAGAGAAAACTACAAGCAATGCTGACAAACCTCAGGCCAGGGGGAGTGAATGAGCCCCCGACAAAACAGCTGAAAAACACAAGACTGGTTGTAAGGGGAGAAGTTTCAGCATCATAAAACACAGATGCTGGGCGCAGTGGCACATGTCTGTAATTCTAGCATTCTAGGAGGTTGAGGCAGGAGGACTGTAAGTTCCATGTTGGTCTGCACAACTTAGCAAGACCCTGTCTCAAAAAAGAAAAAAAAAGGAAAGAAAAAATAAAGGGGTGAGAGCCGGGTGTAGTGGTAGATGTGTTCCATTCTAGTACTCTGGAAGCTCAAGATAGAAAGCTGAAATTTTAAGATCAGCCCAGACAATTTAGTGACTTGCCAAGAGCATGTCTGAAATAGAAAAGAAGAAAATTTAAAAAGGGACAGGGATGCAGCTCAATGTGAAGGTTTGGGTTCAATCCTCAGTGCCCCAATAATTAATCAACTGATCACTTAGGGAAGCAGGAAGAAATGTAAAACTTAACCCAAAGGAAATGAAGTATCACAGTATGTTACCTTTAGAGGCAGCAGTTCTTTCTCTACGTAACCTGTGTCTCCACAGCTCATGACATGTCTGTCTGTCTTCAAGGTATGGTTTTTACAGTAATTTAGCCATCAGAATGCCATCTTGTACTATTAGCAGACCGATTAACAAGTTCCCTGTGCCAGCATCCCCATTCCTGAATCTATATCTTGGGGAACCCAAGTACAGGAGAATCCCATGGTCTGAGCTCCCTCCCTTCTTGACAAAAATGCACGTGTATGCAACACTGGAGACAAGGAGCGGAGTCAGCCATGTGAAGTAGCTCTGTGACACTGGTAAGGATTCACTGTCAACCACAGAACACAAATTCATTTCACTTGGGGGCTAAGACGGAGTTGTTTTAGGGGAAACTCGTGCAATGGCATGGGCTCCTACTTTTTAACCGAACAACAATAGCTGAGATGCATGGCCCCACCATGCCCCGATCCTTATTCCAGGCAATATCCACACAACCTCTTCACGTATGCCCCAAAACACAAGCTAGACGCAGAGGGCGTAAGCAACGTGCGAGCCCCTGGGAAGGTCTTCAGGGCCGGAGATAAGACCTGAACAAAGAAGCCTGCCTGGAAGGCAGCCCTACCTGCAACTGCGCACATTCCTGAGTCAGGAACATGACTCACTCCTAATTGCAATCCCCGGCAGTTCTGTGTAACATGACCATGCTATCTTCTCTGGCCTTTTCTTCTCTATTTCTCATGCCAAAGCCACAGTCACCAGGAATGACTACATACTTCTAGTTCACAGAAATGTTAACACATGTACACTTTTTCATAGACCATGGGGGGGAGGACTGTATTTTGAAAACTACAGTCTTAATCTAAATAATGAGATTTCTGGCATTGGCCCTTGCAGAGATGATCTGCTTATATTGTGGGACCCGAACCTCCCCTCTTTATGGTAAGGAGGCTCTAGGCAGACCCTCAGTGGAACCAGTTACTTCAAGGGTCTGCTTTGAAGTTTGCTGCTGGGAACTGAGAATTCTCTTGACTTCCCAGGTCAGTCCCAGAACCCACAATGTTCCTGAAGCATGAAGCTATGTATTTCTGTAACAACTAACCACTGACGTCTGGATGCTTCTTCCCGAATGTTCCAAGTGTAGAACGAAGGGCTTGCAGGTGTTGGGGGGCAGGACTCACTTGCGTGGCCACACCAACGATGGCTGAGACACCTCCACTGCCTACTGGCTTATGCAGGTCATCGCAAGTTTAGGGACAGGCTGAACCAGCACAGAATAAAAATTATAAGACAGCATTTTAATTGGTGTCTTCAGGCCATTTAGCACGGGAGAAAGATAGCTTGCAAGAGCAAAGAGTAATTAATGAAGGGAGCAAACAAAGGTTCATTTAGTAAGTTCCAAATAAGTTCCTCAGTCTGGGGGGTGGGGAAAAGGTAGCCTGCAACAGAAAGATAAACTGCAGGTATTTAAGTCACAATGCCTTCCGCCAAGAGCCGCTCATTACCTTCAGATGCTGCAGTGACAGTGGAGCCGGTTAGAACTAACTTTATTATTAGAAGCAATTAGGGAGAAAAGGGGGCAGAATTTCATTTGGTTATTTCAAAACAAGTTTCTGTGCACAGTTTAATGAAGGCCTGCAGTGTCAAGATAAAACGTGTATTTTACTGAAAACATCCTTGGTAAATGACTACTTGTTACCAGCGGGTATCTCCAGGAAGAACAGACAGGGTAGGCTGGATTTCCATACATGCCATAACATAATAATTCAGCTGTCTCAGCTTCACAGAACTGTAACCAGGCAGTGTGGCCTGATGGGTAAGCACATGAGTTCTGAAGGCAGAAGGTCTTCAATTCCTGTCTCTGACCTTGGCAGGGAAATGACCTTGGAGGCCCTCTTTTAGTTGGGTATTTGTTTATTCACATATGAGGTAGAAATTATACCAGTGTTGATCCGCACAGGGCTTTAGAGATATAGCAATGCACTATATGTATGTTAGACACATAATTAACTGCTAACTCCAAGGATCATTTGGGTTAGAGGTTGTTTTTAAATAAACTGCTTGCATAGAGCAGCTGTCCTGAGTACAAATCAGTAAGGGACCTATTTATGACCTTTGATCGGGTTTCCATATAAAGTTGTAGACAAATATTTGTTTTCGAAGCCACAGTCACTTTTATGTAAGTTTTTTTCAGACAATATTTTAACAACTCTAAGAAATTTGGACATTTTGAAATGATGTCATCACTTTTAAGATTTAATAGACCAGCTGTATACCATAACTTTTCATTTCTGATTTTAACAACAGTCACAGTTTTTTAAAAAATACATTGTATATACAACCTTTTTCTTTATTAATACCCCAAGCACCTTTAACTCTCCTCTTATACACACCTGGCCTGGGAAACAGGGCCACTTTGAGCTTGGAAGGTCACTTATGCTAACTCTCATATTAAGTAGAGGATCAGGCTTTGGCCCCTTCTAAGGGTTCTCTTTAAGTGACCCCTTAGCTGATCACAAACACATCCACAAATGTCCCCACTAATCATACGTGCTGTTTCTTTTAGAGATCCTTTCATTAAAATCTCAGATAGAAGATTTTCTTCAGATGGTAACAAAATGTGTGCACACAGTGGGGAATACAGCACACTGCATACACATTATGTTTTCATTTTCCAAATCAATAGCATTTAACTAATGTGTCATGCGCCATCCTATTGGACCCATAAGATGAATAAAACTCCTTTCTTGGATGTTAACAAGCAATGCCTTGTTATTAAAATCTATTCACTTGGGAGAAGTCAAAACTAGCAAAATGCCCTCTGTGTAGTTATGTGTTTTCTCAGGCTTGTGTTAAGCTATATCGGTTTTCATGCTACCCTGAATTAGCTTATGCTAATTTGAAAGTAAGAGCTTCTTTGATAGATCCTACCCTACAGACTGTGAGAAATCATAGGTGGAAAATTATAGGATGTACACATTGGAGAGATTCTCCCAAAAGCTTGTGGTTTCTTGTTCAATGTGAGTTCAGGAATAAGTTCAAGCTGATGTAATCTTCAATCCAGTTGTACATGTCCTGGAGTGCTCATCCCTTTCACAAATACAACGTCCTAGTACAGGAGAAGTTCTATTTTGAGAAGACCCCAAAAATTTCAAGCAATGATTTCATGCTAGTCATTGATGCTGATTCATAAATTAGTCTCTGTCAGAAAAAGTCAACCTCAGGCAATGTTTAGATTGTGAATAGAATAAAACAGAGAGCAGAGATTGCAAAGTTGGTGGATGCCTCCCCTTACCCTGGATCTTTCTTCCAGTTTGGTCATCATGACGACTGTGGCACTCCGCTGCTCCCATATCATTCTCCAAAAGTCCCCAAATGTCTCAGGAAGAGATCCTTGCGTTGCAATGTAGGCATTTTGCTTCCGATAGCCATCTATGTAGTTGGCGTTCACATAGTCACTTCCTGGGATTCCTACAAAGCAATAAACATTACTGACCCAGTATACTATACAGATGTTCCACACAATGCCTTCTCTCTCACAGGTTCTCTGTTTTTCTGATGCATCAGAAAAAAAAAAAAAAGGTTCATAAAGACAACAAACTGGTCCTATTCCTTTCACATATTCATCCCTACTTCCAGACAAAAATCATTTTGTTGTTTTTTCTACAGGGTATCAAACTTAGGACCTTGTACTTGCCAGGCTAGGTGCTATGTCCTTGAGCTATATCCCTGGTTCCAGGAAAAATACTGAAAAGGGAAAGGATGCTTGAGTGTGAAAAAGACATATAAGGTGGTTCTGTCAGCATGACAAATAATTTACTGCAGATTAATTATCAGGACTCACATCAATTCTTTTGATTCCCACAACATGAAGCAAACCCTCTCACATAAGTGGGAAGGAGAGACTAGAAAAAAAAAAAAAACTTGGCCAACTTGACCAAGATGGTAGGACCAGGATCAATCCCAGGCAGGTTGTCTGCTGTGTCTGTGACATAATGTCCGCAGAGCTGTGTTCCTTGCTTTAAACCTCATGGGTAGACATGAGTAGCACAGAATCTCTCTTGGATAACAATGGCCTCTTAATTAACCATCACACCTCTAATTTGGTCCTCAGCAGTCTGTTCTAACTAGCAAGAGAACATGTTTGATACATGTAATTTGTAACTTCTTCAAACTCAACAGCGTTTTATTTTACTTGAATTAAATCTAAGCTCTCAATATTATAGACAAAACCCCATCCTTCTCTAGCCTCATCTCACTCCATTCACTTGCTAATCTCTAGACAGTGACTGCTTTGATTGTTAGGACACATGGCTCTCCCACCTCAGTACCACTTACACCCGTGATGTACCCTGTCACCTTTCTATCCTAAAACATATGGCCTCCAGAGTCCTTCCAGGCTACACTGGGCCCTCCAGATTCCCTAGAAGTCCTTACGAGTCCTATTCCAGGTTAGAGTCATGTGCTAATTTTTCTTTAACTTGAATATTGCTTTTTTTTTTTTTTTGACCACCACACCATGTATCTTTTATTTAGTTCTGCTACCACTCATGACAAAAAAGAATAATTTGCCCAGTTAGAACATTTCATATCAGAAGAACTGTACTTTACTGGAGATTAGCAGCATAATTCCTAACAGCTAAGTTTGACAGCAGCCTATATGCTACTGACAGGTGAACAGATAAAGGAAATGTAGTAGTTATATACAAAGTAGTTCTACTGAAGGATACATTTGAGTCATTTGCAGGAAAGTGGACGCACCTTGAAACAGTGATTCTTTTGTGGTACTGGGGATTGAACTAACCTTGCATTTGCCAGGCAGGCACTTATGCCACTGAGCTCTCTCCCTGGTCCTACACCTTGAGATCATAATGTTAAGTGAATTAAATCAGACACACAAGCTTAAATATCCCATGGTTTCTCTTATAGAAGCCCAAATTATAAATAAAGAGCAAAAGAAAAGATTCTAGCAAGCAGGGAGGTGGATTTTGTTCAAATGGGAAGGGAATCAAGAGATGGAGGGAGAGGTCCTGAAGGGAAGGAAAGGAGGTGCACCAACCTCCCCAAGGAATGTAATCAATATGCAATACAAACATGTACTGATTTTTTTTTTTAAAGGAGTGAAATCCTAACTTTTTTCAGCACAATGCTTTTACAAAGGGTAAGTTAAATGCGAGATTTTTCCTGGAAAAGTGTGTGTGAGGAAGTAAATGAAGGCTGTGCCACGTGAGAAGGCAGTACAGACAGCTGCCACAGAGCAGGTAGGGAGCGAGGAGAAGCATCGCCTCCACCTCAGAAGACGGCTCCCATCCACTCAGAGATCCCAGTCTTCAATTCTGAAGGATACAGCTACAGAGAGGGGCTTTACCACTAATTCAATGAAGCATAGTTAAATAACCAAGCTAAAAAGAGACAAGTCTCCTAGGTGGGAAATGAGCTGCCTGTCCCTGGATAGAAGTCATATGATGCAAGAATATCAGTGTATTTTGGTAGGAAGCCCTAGAACTCATCCTTCCTGCTGTGGGAAAACACTGTGTTGTGGAATTATGGAAATTTTTTTTTCTTTATAATAACACATACGTTATTGTATTTCACTGATTGCCACTTGCAATTACTCTGAGTGCTTTTCAGAATCAAGTTGTAAAACTGATCTTCTCAAGAAAAGTAATGAAAGTCAGATGGAAACAACTGTGCTCCAAGATGAACACATGGAAACGGAGTGCCACCAGCATTAGCTGAAAAGCTTTCTGAGCAAAAACTGAAATGCACAGTTGGTTGTAGCATTATTCATCTATTACAGCTACTCAAGAAGCAGTTGGGGTTCTGGCAGCTTCTTGTTGATAAAGATCTTATTCCTGCTCTATACCAAATTACTATAGATTGAAAGGACAGTTTAAATAAGATCCTTAGGTTACAGCCTCTGGGAAGTACACACCTCTCATAGGTCTGCAGGCTTTGATTCTGGGCCAAGAATGAGTCTGTTTTATAACATAGGAAAAGTGTACTTTCAATATTTTAATTTACCAGTTAACAACATTAAAGGATAAATATAAAGAATTCTGATGAAGGGTTTTACTCAGCTATTAATATAGGAGAAACTTAAAAAGAAACCAGAATAGAAAAATCTGGATGAAATGGAAAATCTATCAATTGGACACTGTTCCAGGCCTTCCCACATGAAGTACAACACACGCATCTAAAATAAATGCATCTGAGGACATGGAGACAATGGATATAGGAATCATCCCCAAAGGAAGGAATCAGGTATGGGGACTCCTCTGCAGGATAATACAATGAATTTTCTTGGATTATAGGACTCAAGTGTGAATAATGCAAATTTTGGAGCGTGGATGGGTTGGTATTGGAAAATGGTTATGCTTCATGGGGACAAGAATATAAGTAAGCACCTGGAATCAATACTATATTATCACATGCTTTGAGAATTTGGAGTTGAGATTTTTAAAGGAATAAAACTGAAAATAAAGTAAATACTACATAAACTAATTATCAGGCTATTGTCTATGTCCTGAAAATAATACTGATATTTCTCTCCCATTTAAACACTTGGCTATAAGTAGATAACACCCCAAATGGAAATCTCCTTACATCAAGCTCTATTATTCACGCTGCTAGACAGACACTCCAGGCATGCTCTCTCCCCTAGTACTTTGCCATACAGAGAGGTGAGAGAAAGATTGTTCTTTAGAAATTCCACAATCTACTGTCACTGGTGTCTATATAACCCCGTATATAACAAGCTGTGCAGAAACATGAATGTTTGTGAAAAAGTGATCTCTTGTTCTTCTAAAAATATTAACCTCAGATTGAAAGCAAAATTTCAACACCAGTCTGTTTCTTCCAGTTGAGACCCCAGTTTTCAATATGATATATTTAGAAAGAGATTTCAACCAACCCTGGGAAAATATACAATATGCTCTCTTTCCAAATGTTTCAGGGCCATGAAGTGCTTCCTTAGAAACTCGTGATTAGGATATGTTTGCTGGAAGGCAGGATCTACAAAATTCTTTCATGGGGGAGATAACATCTAAATAAAACACATTGTTAATTTGATTTTTGATTTCCTGCCTTGCCTGGAAAATGACTTGCATCTCCTAATGCAGCAGTCATCAGAATTCACTGCTAAGCCAAGAGAAGACCTCTGGGGCTCTACTAGGTGGAAAGCTAACTGAAAATACAGGACCAAGGTAGCACGGAATTGCAATACTTGAGCTGATTGTTTCTGTTCCTGGAGTCAAGAAGAACTTTCTAGTGACAGTGCTGGCCTTAGGTTTGTGTTGCTTTTTTCATTTGTTATAAGTATGGGAAAGACTTATTAAAGAGTGGGACATGACAAAGATGTTGGGCTTTTACTGTGGTAGGTAAAAATCTTAGGAGAGAATGACACTGCTTTAGGAACTGACCCTTGGAGCCACTAGGCTTAAAGTCACGGTTCAGAAGGCGCTCCTTCCCTATAAAGACCTCATCCTTTCTGACTTGGCTACATGGATAAGATCAATAGGCTTTCATGATTTCTCACATACTGTCTAGCATATATTCTCCAATTAACCGCAGTTGCATAAACGGTTCCAACACCATTAATAATTATTCCAGTTTTACATTAAGAAACCTAAGGCCAGACTCTAACTGCATCTTATACCCATATGACTCACTGTCTTGTATTTCTTCAGTTAATTGACTGTTCTTTTTTGTGGTACTTAAAATTTTTACTTATATGGCTTTGGCTGACTCTTAGTGTTTTGGGCTAATTCACCTAAAACTGTAAAGCTGATCTTTTAAAATTAATGAAGGCTGTGATGAAATGAACAATCGGTAGTGTGGTACTTTCGTCGTCTTTGTATACAACAAGCCAAAAGCAAACACCTATTCGAGCAGTCAGGTGACTTTTAGGCTATCATTTTAATTGCTGGCAGTTGTTAGTTTTTGGTGAGAAAACAAGGCTCGGCATGGACTTTGGAGAATTTGGACTCAGCCATTCCACTAAAGGCTGCAAAGTTTCAGAAATTGTACCACGAGTTCAAGTGCAAAGACAACAGGATTTTGCTTCATCCAAGCATGAGACTAAGAGGATGGGCTTAATAACATTGTCTCTGTGCATGTCTGAATATTTAAGGAGGGAGAGACCTTTGGAAAGATGAAGATATTCTATTTAGGAGAATATTTGTAATAACGATTTTTGAGGAATGCATAATTCTTTCAAGGATGCTACAATGTGAGAGAACATATTGTCTAAGCTGTTTTGTCACTGTGTGGTTACAAAAGGTTTTTCTTTTTTTCTTTCCTGTTAATTTGTGAAGGACTAATTGGGCCATGTAGCTTTCTTAAAAATAGAACCCACTCAATTTTTCTGTGGACTAAATTATTTCTGTCAGCAGGTAATTTGACTGGAAAAGTCTCGTCTTAAAGGAGTATTTGTCATTACAAGAAGCTTACAAGCAACCCTCACAACTTGA